TTTGAAACCAAATCCGACACGTGTTTATACTCTTAGCCGGAAAACATCGAAAGGTTACACTCTGTGTGAAAGTTTTATCAGAAATCAAATTAAATCAAGCTATTAAGACTGGGATTAAATTTTTGAATGAAATATTTCTCTTTTTCTCTTCTTTCTGTTATATTGTCTTGAAAAAGTTTATAAAAAGGGAACACTTTAAATTGTCCTTGTCCGCACCTATCAATGTGTTCGCTGAGTTTGATCTTACGGTACTCAGGAACTTGAATATGCTGTTTATGCACACGAATTCTGGCTCTCAATGTAGTCCCCGTTTCACCGATGTAGAATTGGTTGCATCCTCCGCAAGTAATAACATATATTAAATTTTTGGACTCACATGTCATGTCTGAATTAATAAAGAAATCTTTTCCTTTGAAATTAAATGATGTTCCTTCTCTTAAAACAGAACATGTGCCACATCGCGGATCTTTACACTTTGTCACGGATTTTGTAGATTTCGTTATTTTGGAAGGACAGAGTATTCTTCTGAGGTTTTTGGGCTGCCTTTTGCTGTTTATAAACTTGAATTTTGAAAGAACATTTGACATTTCTTCATCCGTTTTGAGAATTTCGTTCAGATTTTGAACGATAGGTGTAATATTTGGGTTTTTAGGATTGTAAGTTGTGACTAGTGGTAATATTTTAATATTTTCCTCATCATTAGGAGTTGGATTAATTAATTCTTCTCTGTTTAATTCCTTTGCTTTTCTGATGCCGTCGTTGATTAAGCTTAAAGGATAATGTTGGTCTGTGAGAAATATTTTCAATTCATCCAGACGTTGATTTCTGGTTTCCTCCTCACTTACTATTGTGCATATTCGTCGGGCTAGGTTGTAAGGTATTGCTCTTTTAATGTGTCGCGGGTGGGAAGATCCAAAATGCAAATATTGATGAGTGTCAGTACTCTTATAAAATATATCTGTTGCAATTTTGTTGTTTTCCTTACAGATTAATACATCTAAAAATGGTAATTGAGTAGAACTTTTTTCCATTGTAAATTTAATATCTGGGTCTAATTCATTTAAGATATCATTTAAAATGATCAAATCTGAATCATCTTTTTTCCATATAATAAAACAATCATCCAGATATCTTTTCTAGTTTCTTTTAAGATATTCGCAAAATTCTGCATCAAACTGTTCATTAGCTTTTTCATATAGTGCTTCTTCTAGGTATCCAAGGGTAAGTGTTGCATATGTAGGGGCCATTTTGGTACCCATGGCTGTATCCTTTAAGCTTAATCAACGACGGCATCAGAAAAGCAAAGGAATTAAACAGAGAAGAATTAATTAATCCAACTCCTAATGATGAGGAAAATATTAAAATATTACCACTAGTCACAACTTACAATCCTAAAAACCCAAATATTACACCTATCGTTCAAAATCTGAACGAAATTCTCAAAACGGATGAAGAAATGTCAAATGTTCTTTCAAAATTCAAGTTTATAAACAGCAAAAGGCAGCCCAAAAACCTCAGAAGAATACTCTGTCCTTCCAAAATAACGAAATCTACAAAATCCGTGACAAAGTGTAAAGATCCGCGATGTGGCACATGTTCTGTTTTAAGAGAAGGAACATCATTTAATTTCAAAGGAAAAGATTTCTTTATTAATTCAGACATGACATGTGAGTCCAAAAATTTAATATATGTTATTACTTGCGGAGGATGCAACCAATTCTACATCGGTGAAACGGGGACTACATTGAGAGCCAGAATTCGTGTGCATAAACAGCATATTCAAGTTCCTGAGTACCGTAAGATCAAACTCAGCGAACACATTGATAGGTGCGGACAAGGACAATTTAAAGTGTTATTTTTATAAACTTTTTCAAGACAATATAACAGAAAGAAGAGAAAAAGAGAAATATTTCATTCAAAAATTTAATCCCAGTCTTAATAGTTTGATTTAATTTGATTTCTGATAAAACTTTCACACAGAGTGTAACCTTTCGATGTTCTCCGGCTAAGAGTATAAACACATGTCGGATTTGGTTTCAAAGGTGTGAACAAACTGCAAGCATTTAATTGCCTGCTGTCAGATTCAATTATAGATAATGATTTTTAAAGTATTAATAGTTTTGTAAGACATTGCAGTCAGGATTAAGAATGCATTTGTAAAACGTCTGAAGATGTAATGAAAGCGCTAACGTTTTAATCTGTGTTGCCTTTTTTATTTTAATTTTACCTATATAAAAACCGGACACTGTGAAATTTTCAAATTTGGATATATATATATATATATATATATAAATGATAAAAAAAATGATAAGGCAACAATGTTAGTAAAACAATTGTAAAACATCTGAAGAAATAATGAAGAAAGCGCTTACGTTTTACTAACATTGTTGCCTTATCATATATATATATATATATATATATATATATATATATATATATATATATATATATATATATATATATATATATCCAAACTTTCATTAGAAAGTGTGTGCAGTTATGCTGTACCTTGAGGGAGAGTCAGACTGGTACTCCTCCATGACACCCTGTGTACATCTAAGAGGCAGAATGGGTCTCTCTATATCAGTTCTAGGAGGTAAGAGCTCAGGCTGTGTCTGTGTAGGCAGGGTCACAGGCTCAATCCCCGGGGGTGGTGGATGAGCATGTTGGCTCCCACCAGGTATAGAATCCCGATAAAATGGTGGTAAAGGTGGCGGTTTCAAAGGCTTTGTTTCCTCCTCATAATCAGGAACTTGGTTTGCACTGGAGCTTCAGGATACAGATACATAAAAGGGGTGATCAAAAAGTTCACAAATATATATGAAACCATATTTCAGATAAGAATTAAATTTGGCACACATACAATCATATAAATGTTCTATAAAACGCATATGTAACTACAGCCTACTCCGGATATATTGAAATTCAGGGGACCATACAAATTAATACAACATATCCATAATTCATTATCAGCAAAATCGTGAAGCCGCCATTTCTTCTTTTAATTAAAAGTGCAATCCCGATCTTAAGATAAAGAACAAACCTGAAACAAGAGATGTTTGTAAAACACTTATGCCCCCCTCCCCCCTAATTGGAATTTTTCCAAGTCCAAGGGGCATAACTCTGTCAAAAATGGTGCAATCGTACCCAAAACAGAACTTGGCCAAGATATTAATGTGATACATCTGTATACCAAATTTCATTTCAGTATGCGAAACGGTTGCAAAGAAAATGAGCAGGAACTGCAAATAATGGAATTTTTTTTAAGTCCAAGGGGCATAACTTTGTCAAAAATGGTGCAACCGTACCCAAAACATAACTTGACCTAGATAATAATTTGATATATCTGTATACCAAATTTCATTACAGTACATGCAACGGTTGCAAAGAAAATGAGCGGAAACTGCAAATAATGGATTTTTTTTTTTAAGTCCAAGGGGCATAACTCTGTCAAAAATGGTGCAACCGTACCCAAAACAGAACTTGACCTAGATATTCATGAGATATATCTGTATACCAAATTTCATTTCAGTATGCCAAACGGTTGCAAAGAAAATGAGCGGAAACTGCAAAAATGGATTCTTTTTAAGTCCAAGGGGCATAACTCTGTCAAAAATGGTGCAACCGTACCCAAAACAGAACTTGACCTAGATATTCATGAGATATATCTGTATACCAAATTTCATTTCAGTATGTGCAACGGTTGTGAAGAAAATGAGCGGAAACTAAATGGACCGACAGACCGACAGACTGACAGCAGCAAAGCAATATGCCCTCCCTTCTTCGAAGGGGGGCATAAAAATTAATTTTGTCGTCGTTTACCTATAACAATGTACAGATTACATGTAATATTAGTCTTTGAAAGTTTAAATAAAATTGTCTCTTTCTGTTGTATCGATAAGACAATCTTCAGCCTCATTTTTATTCCCCGAAAGCATTTACGTTTTGGAGAAAAATCACCATCTCAAACTGTTGAGTACTGCTGGACGCTGCATGTTATTTAATTTGAAAGTTAAATTTTTTCTAGATCTGTGGGGGTTACTTTATTGCCTTTAGCCTAAATACTTCCGTATTATATACATGGAAACAAAGAATTTAGCAGTGCATAATTTTATTTCGTAAAAGCATGCAGTATAAAAACACATAAGATGAAAACTTAATTATTCACACCTTTGTATATCAACTGGTCAGTCAGGCATAATTTCTGTCGCCAACTGTAACGACAGTCGCCAGGGAGTACTTCAATATAACCGTTATGAAAACAACTCATTATCACCTGTGGGGACCGATCAGTGGCTTCAATATAAGTACAATATTTCAATATAGACGATTTCAATATAACCATTATTTTAATGCAAAGAATATGACAGTCAAAACTGGGGATTTATTTTTATTTCAAAATAAGATGAATTTCAAAATAAGCAAGTTCAATATGGAGTAAGCTGTAGTAATAATTGTAACGGGGACTGTTACAGATGTTCCCAAAATGCTCCCCGACTCCCCTTTTTGACCAATATTCCTGTAAGTTTTTTTTTAATCTGCTAAGTATTGAATGATTTCATCAAGTAATTATATTAGCTACAATGATATCAACTATATGTCATTTAACGTATTGCATACACACGCACGTGCATGCACATGCAAGGTGATCATGACATGTTGTCTAAACCATTAACATATCTTTAAATTCTGAGAATCAATGAAAAATCATAAAAATATAAATGCTACCATTTTTCAAATAGATTGATCAATTTACGCAATGCGCGTTCCCGCACGTGCATGCATGCATGTCCTTACATTCAATTTTGATAGTAATGTAATGTAGGAATCCATTATACCTATTCGTATTCTAAATGTCATCCTGTTTTGTTGAGAGCCAAGAAAATTATAGGCATTTTAAGTTTCAGCCAATCAGATTGCAGCACAGGTGCATGCATATGCTTTTATAATAATTCTTTTATTCAATTCATGTGGTAGCCATTCATAATATATGAAAACATTCAAAATTTCAAAGGATTTTGTCAACAAGGCCAGCATTTTTTTTAATTTTTAAATTATCGAAATAAAAAAAGTCCCGTAGGAGGAGGAAATAAAAAAATAAAATAAAATAATTTTTTGGGATAAACTATCGACTTTTGTACATTCATTTTTGCTTCTTTTTTGTTGCTCTCATAACAGGTTCCTTGCCACTGGACACATAATGGTTACAATGAGGAATGTAGAACCTTTTTAATTGTTTATTTCATCATCTGCCAGTTGGAGCCATGCAGTGATATAAATTTTCTGATGCTGGTCAAAATACAAAATTAAGGGGGTTCTCTACAACGTCACAACATGGCATACTTCCGTTGAAAGGCCATTTTGGTCCCAAATGATCTGATTCACTAAACACCAATAAATCACCGAGCATAACACAACATTCGATTTTGTGGATGGAATGTACATTGTATCTTCTCGATGCAATGAGAGTACCATATATGTATCCTTTCTTTAAACATGAATTGTTTGGCAGTTTATTCAATTTCTACTCATTTAATTAAATTACATTAAATTTCATTTAATTATTAAAAAAATATAAACAACCTTATGAGAATAAATTTGAATTTTGGTAAAGAAAAAAATGATATAAAAACATGGCTTGTCCATATGCTAATTCATCCTTATGTGTAAAATCGCCATAAACTCCGAGGTTTTCGATTAAATTCGTTTTAAAAAAAATACAATAAGAACTTTTTATAATGCCATGGCTTGACATCTTTTTTCAATACTAGTGCAACTTTTAGTAAACGTTATTTAAGTACATTGTATATATAAACCAGAAGTCTCTGTCGAGACTGTAGCTCTACTGGTTTGTACTTATAACAAAGGATGAGAAAAGAAGCCATTGTCATTAGACCAAAACTGTAGAAGGAGTAGCATTTTAAAGGAATTTCACAGACATTTCTATTTTTAGTAACAATGGCAACACCATTCATCGAAATCAGTCTACTTGTGTGCCAGGTAATATTGAAATAAGACCAAAACTGTAGACAAAAGTAGAAATAGTAGTGTTTAAAAGGAATTTCATAGAAAATTCTATTTTTAGTAACCATGGCAACACTGTTTATTGAAATAAAAAAACAATGCACTATTTTATGTATCTTAGTGTAGTCTACTTGTGTGCCAAGTTATATTGAAATCAGATTAAAACTGTAGAAGGAGTAGCGTTTTAAAGGAATTTCACAGAAAATTCTATTTTTAGTTACCACAGCAACACTGTTCATTGAAATCAAAAACCGATTCATTATTTTATGCATCTTAGTGTAATCTACTTGTTTGCCAAGTTATATTGAAATCAGATCAAAACTTGAGGAAAAGTAGCATTTTAAAGGAATTTCTCAGAAAATTCTATTTTTAGTAACAATGGCAACACCGTTCATGGAATTCAAAAACCGATGCACTATTTTATGTATATTAGTGTAGTCTACCTGTTTGCTTATATTGAAATAAGACAAAAACTGTAGAAGGAGTAGCGTTTAAAAGGAATTTCACAGAAAATTCTATTTTTAGTAACCATGGCAACACCGTTCAACGAAATAAAAAACCGATGCACTATTTTCTGTATCTTAGTGAAGTCTACTTGTGTGCCAAGTTATACTGAAATCAGATCCAAACTGTAGGAGGAGTAGCGTTTTAAAGGAATTTCACAGAAAATTCTATTTTTAGTTACCACGGCAACATCGTTCATCGAAATCAAAATCCGATGCACTATTTTATGTATCTTAGTGTAGTCTACTTGTGTGCCAAGTTATACTGAAATCAGACCAAAACTGTGTGCCAAGTTATATTGAAATCAGATCCAAACTGTAGGAGGAGTAGCGTTTTAAAGGAATTTCACAGAAAATTCTATTTTTAGTTACCACGGCAACATGGTTCATCGAAATCAAAATCCGATGCACTATTTTATGTATCTTAGTGTAGTCTACTTGTGTGCCAAGTTATACTGAAATCAGACCAAAACTGTAGAAGGAGTAGCGTTTTGAAAAATTGTTTACAGACAGACGGACAGACAGACCGACAGACAGACAGACGGACGGACGCCGGACGCATTACTATCGCATAAGCTCTTCTGGTCTCTGACCAGTAGAGCTAAAAAACAAAACAATACCGATAGAGTTCAGCCCACTCTTGAAGCGGATCTTTCTCACCTGAATTTTTGTGATGTCTGAAATTTTTGACAGTTTTTCAATTTTGTTCAATTTCTTTTTTCATTGTTTTTACCCTTTGTTATTTGCCTATATACGATATGTTATGTGTTAAATATACTATCTACACCTCGAAATTTAGGCGATAAGAACGCTCTTTTGTTATTTCATTGAAGCTATCTCACCTATTTTTAATAGAAGTCAATTTCTAAAATTTCTTTGTCTTTCTTTCTTTCTTTTTCTGTGATATTCATGGCATACGTAAAGGCCCCTATTTGCTGATTTTACGCATACCAGTTTCTTGATTTGATAAAGAAGGAATTAAATATCTTAAAATTTTCGCAAACGTAGGTTCAACGTTTCCTTAAACACTAAAAAATATTCATTTCATTTTCTCATAAATAGACTTCGCGGGTAGTAATACACACTGTACAAGTGTGCAGGTAAAGTCTCTCTTGGAATGGTGAATGGACCCGTAGAAATTCATCCCTGGTTCCATGGAGAAGAGATATCAGTAAATAAAATGTTTATAACATATACCGTACAATCCCTATTAACCACCCCGGGCGCTTAGAAAATTGCTGA